AAATGACTCTAATTAAGGGTTTAATGTGATGATGGTTAAATATAAAATATAGAGTCATTGAGGGTATAATTGTAAATACAATTATAAGGAAACTCTTCCCTCTCCCTTCATATAAATTAAAGAGCGGTTACTAAATAGGGGTTACGGCAGTCTCTACTTGTTCACTTGCACGGTCTCTGAGTGTGCTCACGGTAAATGCAAGAAAGGAACTTTCTCTCAACCATCCGAGAAGAGCTAAAAGAAGAAGGAAGAATTGGAAAAAATACAAAAGGATCAATGACATCAAAGAGAGAGGTAACATCAAGGAACAATGGATTCAAGTTAGTGCTCTCTAAACACTTAATTATATGAGAACCATGTATTGTGTTGTGAGAACAACGTAATTCAAAATCTAATGGGAAAAGGTAATTTCATAATAGTTATATTATAATGAAAATTACATAATGGATTAAAGAAAATTCTAACATCCAAGACTTGAGACCTTGGCTGTAGTTGCTCCCAAAATTGCAATGTCAGAATTCGTAGGCTTCTATGGAGCTTAGCAGCTTTTATTTGAAGGATTTCTTCATTGAATCATTTAGTTTAGATAATTTTTATTGGAGGCAGACTTGCTTAAGAAACTTCATTTTGAAAGATTGTCCCTTTGAAGTTTTTGAATTGGTTGGAAAGGGAATGTTAAAAGTGTTAAAAATTGATGATGTGAGTGTCATCCATCTTAACATTGGGGATAGCACAGAAAACTTCGAGATTGTAGATATTTGTAACTTCATTATTATATAGCCAAAATTTTATCATATAATATCAAGGGCATCAAAGTTACATAAGCTTCGACTGTAGGGTGTTGTTTTTTATGATGAGAATGAGGTTGTTGATATATAGACAATTTCTATTTGTTTTCCTCAATCAAAGCATTTGTCTTTTTAAGTTATGATTTAAGAGATGGAGCACTTCATTATAACTTACAGGATTTGTTTTCTTTGACAGATTTGGTGGTGTTAAAACTTGGATGAACTTCAATTAGTGATATATGAGTAGCTAGACTCTAGGTCCCAATTTGAAAATATTAGTTATTTGAGTATATAAAAATAAAGATAAAAGGGAGAAAGAAGAAGAAAAGATATTGAAGATAATATCGAAGGTCTGAGAAAGAAAGAAAATCATGAACAGTAAGGTATAATATGTGACATAAAATGACAAAAATTTTTAAGTCTATCTTTAAGAGAAAATGATTTATTTAAAACTTTTTTAAAAATTAGAGGACTAAAATAAACAAATAAAATTAGCAAATAAAATTAAATTTTACCTTGAAGTTAAAGAATGAAAAAAGTAATTTTGTCCAACTAAATAAATTCACAATCATAATATTTATGATTAGTCATATTTGGATAAATTTTTTAAAAGTCTTTATAAGAGAAAAATTAGTATAAAAATGAAAACATTTTTAATAAGTTAAAAAAACTTATATTTTTATTTTAAAATATTTTTTTATTTAACTTCTCTAAAATTTAAAAAAATAAATTATTTTTAATTTATGATAAAAAATTTATTGTTTTAATTTTTTTATAAGTACTTTTAGTCATAATATTATCTAATATTTTAATGTGTTTATTACGGTAACGTAAATTTAAAAAAATATTGCATATCTTTTTTAAAGTGACAATATCTTAAAGTTATTGAGTAATGTAATACGGTGTTAAACTTGGATATTTATGCATCTTAATAATTTTTCATAAAATGTAAAATTAATTAAATCAATCATTGAATTATTATATATTACTTTCATAATTATATATATCAAAATTTACATGATTTAGACATTTATAGGTATATATTTGAAATTTTATATTTATTTACATTTTAAAAATATAATACATATTAAACTAAAGTAATGTGATAAGTACATTTTAATTTTAATTTTGTATAAAATTTTATTTACTTAATAAGCATTTTTAAACTAACAATTAAATTAACTAAATTTATATTCTAAAAAAATATTAAATAACATAAGTATTTAGGTTAACAAATCATGACTCGTGTACATAGGCTAAACTACATGTATCATTCATTTGTTGAAGCACACTGCTGTTTTATATAGTAAAAAAAAAGTATTTAAATATTACCATCTACAAATTTCTTTTTTGAACAATCAAATCCACAAATTGCGAGAGTGAATTAACTTTTAGCCTTTTAAACTTAAAAATAGTTAATAGCATTTAATTTTAGACTAAAAACAATAGTGACTGTCATAAATGTTATTACCTGCTACATTCTTCTAATATTGAAAACATATTTAATACAAAAAAAAAGTTGTAAACATATTTTAGATTTTGATATAAATCGATTTCTTTCAATCAACTTTAAATAAAAATATATCAATTCTAATAATTATTTTATTAATTTAAAAAACTTTATTTATAATTTGTATTATCCTTTAACATATAGTGAGCCAGCTGTTTAAATTACCCTTTTGTTTTTTAGTGTGAACATCGGGTACTGATATTGTGTGCTTCGATGGCATTATTCAATTCGAGAAAAGGGGGAAAAAAATTTTAAAAAAAATAATCCAACACCTTGCACACGGATACTAGTATTGTAAGAAATTAATATTACTGTAAAAAAATTATCATTTAATAATAATAAAATCATTAAATATTAAAATAATCTTTGTTAGTATATTTTTGTCTAAAAAAATTAAATTATCAGTACGGATTTTAAAGATAAATACTAACAAAATATTAGTGTTTGATGTATAGATATTATATATTAATATTTTTTACTAAAAAATTTATTTGTTAGTATATTATATTATAATATTAATACAAAATCAAAATATTTATACCGATAATTTAATTTTTGTTAATAAATGTTAATAAAATATTAATACAGAATTTGAATAAATTTATCAATAAGTATTTATAAGAGTAAAAAAATTTAAATAGTATAATGAATTAAACTTCTTCTGTAAGATAAAATTAACTTGTACTTTTTTATTATTTTTAGAAGCCTTTACATTTATTTATTTTTTTAATTTAAAGATTATAAAGTATTTTTAAATTATAAAAGAAGTTTAATTTAATTTTGTATTATTTTTTATAAAAATTTACCTAAATTAAACCTAAATCTAATCGATGATAATTTTATTTATATAGGGTAAACGCAGCAGTTCAATCAATATAGTAGTCACGACTAAAAAAAACAAATACAGTAGTCAAATCTTTTAAAAAATTATTCACATCTTTAAGAAGCATACTTAATTAAAAAAAAAACTCATCACTTCAGTAAGACTATGAATTTATTTAAAAAACTCTCTCTCTCTCCTTCTCATAACCAATATCTTATATTATAAAGAGAAATAATTTAACAATATGTAATGTAACTGAAAATATATTATAGTATAATCTCATTTAATAGAGAAAATTAACAATATAAATTAAATCCTAAATAAATATCTAGTCAATCATAATCATTTTTTCCTATATGTATTCATTGATTGTACTGCATTAATAATATTTTTTATTTAATTTGCATCAATATATTTTATAAATTGAATCCTAAATTGATGTTGTAATATAGTTTAATTTTAATACACTGAATAATCATCATATCAGCGAGAATAATTGATTTATATAATAATTAATATAAGATTATATTTAATATGTATTTTAATTGTTTAACAGTGTAAAAATATTTATATTTTATGATAAAATTAAACTGAATTTAAAAATATTAAAAAAATCTAATATTGAAAGTTTTTCTTGTTAATCACAGTTAATATTTATTAGTTAAGGCATATAAATTCTTTCGGGGTCCATTAAAAAGAGTGTATTTAAGAGAAAAAGACATATTTTATATTTTTAAATTAAAAAAATTATATATTATTTGTAATAAAAATAATAATTAATACATTAATTTGATGTTAAAATATTAATTTATATATATTTTTAAAATATTAACTTTAAATATAGTTATTTAAAAGTTTTGTCTCCTCTCTCCTTCAAATTTTCTCTTCTTAAGTTAAGATGGTTGTTTGGAAAGAAGAGTCATAAAAGGAAAGATATATTTTCTATTTTAAATAAATTTTAAAAATTAATATTTAAAAAATATATAAAATAATATATTATCATAAAGTAAATGTATTAATTATACATATTTACGATCATAATATTTTATACATAAAATCATAGTATATATATATATTCTTAATTTACAGGTTGATGTTCTTAATCATCAAAATATAATTGTTTTGACAGATTTGTGCGAATTTAATTTGCGCGTATGCTGTATATAAGAATATCACCGATTGTAAAAATCTGTCTCGTGTATCCATGCAAATGCTCATTAAGCAAATTTTAAATGAATTTATTGTTATCCTTAAATATTTACGAATATCCGTAAATATTCATTAAAAAAGTTACAAATTTTTAAAAATAATTTATATACAAAAGTATAACTTAAAGAAAGAATAAAACATCTAAATTACAAAAACAACACAATATTTTATTATAGCAATAATAACACAATATCAAGTTTAAACGCTTATCAAAAGTATATTAAAAGAATAAAGTTATGATCATATTCAATAATTTTATATACAAACGAATCCTAGAAACACATACTTCAATATCCAAGCTCACTCCATTAACAGATGCATAAAAATTTCTTAATCAATCCGTAAATTACCAGCATATATTCTCATGGCACATCTTGCGCGTGTACGTGCCTCGCGTGCGCATTTGCATTTGTATGTCCGCGCATGCAAATAATTAACGTGAATCAAATATAATTTTGACAATAAAGATAATAAATGTAAATATCTAAAGGTTCGAAATTGAATCAAGATTATTTTGTTGAAAAAAAAATTAAGATTTCGATAAAGTTTCTTTTCTTTTTAGTTTATTTTTGGTTCGAAATTGCTGAACATTCCAAAACCTTCCTACACCAACCACGCGCTTTATTACAACAACAAAGTAATGTAACGATACGAGCCCATAAAATATAAGAACTGAAACATGAAAATGCATTTAATAAATAAATTATAAATACAAAGTAATAACAAAGTCAAGCAGTTTTACTTCAACTATAAATAAAGGATGTATGAATAACAATATTCTTTTGGTCATATAAGAGAGTTGAGACTAACACGTAACGAGTCAATACCCGAACCACACCACAACAAAGCAAATTGCACTTTGCTAATTCGCGGTTCGTTCTTGACTCAAAACCCTTTCTCTATCTCAACCTCTTCCACTATGCTAGAATCCACTATACATCCAAATATAAGACCCTCTTTTATGTTGTCATTTTCAAAGTAAAAAAATATAATCAATAGGGTTTTAATGTATATAAATTGAATCAACCAAAGGGTTCATCATGCAACTCCAAGTGCATCTTTGATCTTCTGAATGGTGCATGTGATTAGGTTATTAACAGTTTCAATGGACTCCACAGTGAGTTTAGCTGCATGCTGGCCATTCTGCAACATTTGTAACCCAACGGTTAGTAAGCTTCCGCCGCTGTCACTACCACCACTGCCATCGCCATTGTTTGAATGACCATCTGGCAAAACAACAAAGCCCGAAGGACGGAGAGTGACGAAAGATGAATCTTCGCAGCTCATCACCATGTTCAAGGATTGCATGTTGATAGGGGAATACACCACCATTGAACCGGAGGTATCACTCCATGACTCTTGCAGATATAGCACGTTGCTCTCGTTGCTGTTAGCAGCCTACAAATGTCACAAAAATAACAAAGAGAATGTTAAATGGAAGGTGATGATGACTTTTCTTTATGCAGCCAAACTCAACAGTGAGAAGCTTTGCTCGGAAAATGACCCCAAAATAGTTCTGTCCCTTCAAATGGGTTTACTTTGCATGCTGAAGATCTTAGACAGAAACAAAAAACTTGCAAAGTGCATGATAGAAAAGAGCACTTACACGGAGGATAGAAACACAATTTCCATGTTCTTGTCCCTTAGCAATATGGAGCATCTCCTGCATTGGTCCCCCATTGGACAGCATGTCCCACTCGCCTCTCAACTGTCCATCACGCAGAAAGTCAAACACCCTTTGCCGCGAGACCGGCATCCAAACAGAAGTTGAAGCGCTCAGCACAATGCCAGCCTCACTCGGGTCATCCACATTCTTCCGGGCCATGATTCTCATGTCATCACTCAGATTACCAACATGAAGGACATCCCACTTGCGAGTGGATGAAGCACAAATCCCAGAGCAGAAATAATCAGTCATGCGTTGTGAAAGCTTCAGCATGCTTCTCTTACCGGATTGGTTTAAGGCTGGGAAGAATGATGTCCATAAAAATGGGAACTTTTAACTGTATTAAGCAAAATGAACAAGTGTTGAAGGAGACATTGTGACATACCTGTGGGGTCCTCAGATGGGATTGGAGACATGAGGATTGCAAAGCATTCACACTGCCTTAGGAGGGTGTTAATCCATCTTTGAGCACCAAAGCCAATGCCAGAATTAACTAATGGGCGATAAAGTTGGTGAACAACACTCTCATCATATTGGTAATGATCAACCCAAGTAATCTACAACAGTATAATTTACTTTCTGTCAATCTGAAGATTAGTACAAATTCATTGCCATAATAAAACATGCAAACTCCTGTTATTTCAACCATGTAGTTCCAGTAAACCCATCTCTCAATCACTGTAGATTTACAAACTTGATAAAAACAGCAAAAAAGGCTGTACACTTCGGTTTGGTTCATTTTATGTTAACCACTTATAGTAAACCACCAAAAAGATCTTTTGGGACAAATAACACTGTAAATGCATGCTTGGTATTATAGTGCAGGTATGATGGAATCCAGTGCAAGCTCTTGCAAAACTAAAATGTCAGCCATAACAAACTGCTCCTTTGATACTAAATTATAAAAGACCTTAAAAATTTTATATGTAAAAACTGAACCTCCAGCAAGCAAGAAAGGATGCAGTACAAAAGAAAATGTGTCTAAATATTATATAACAGTGCTTACCTTGGAGAGACCATTGGGCATATCCTGCACAATACAGCCAGAAGGAAGCCTCCTGCAGCTCATTAATGGCTGTGCATTGGTAGCATTACGACCAATGTCAACTGAAACATCAACAACAACCCATACACCTTCCGCATGCTGTTTGCAAAACCTGAGGAAACTCAATTGACGAACAGGAACTAGTGGAGAAAGCAATTGAACCTCAGCAAGCATCTGAAAAACATTTCCTCATCAGTTCCAGCAAAATAAAGCAAAGATCAAACACGCAATAGAGGAACATACCACTTGCAAAGCACCATTTCTGGTTCCTCCCATACCACCAGATATTACATCCAGGGTGACAGCACTAGCAACCACACAAGAAAACATCTCTGACCATCGATCCTAATGACATACATGATAAATTGAAAAAATTATTCAACAAACATTACCAATTTAAGACCGAATGGTCATGGTCAATTTATATCAACGTATCAATTTTTTGTACAAGAAAATTTCTTCGAACTATATGCCAAATTTTATGAACTATAAGATAAACAAGGCATACAATAGGACAATACTTCTCTTGAATCTATTATTGATTTGTGCGTGAATGCTGTAGATCTCCAATAAAGTAAAATAAATTCATCCAAGACTAAGAAGTTGTTAGGGACTATACCGTGTCCATCAATGTTTCCACAAGGGCTAAACTGTTGACTAATACTATACCAGTTTCTCTTGTAGCTTCGGTTACATAACCAGTTGGTTTGGGACCATGATAAGGAGAAAATGTTCTTGCATACTCCTCATGGTTCAATACTTCATTCCTTCCATCAGGACTCTTAATCCAAAGAGGGGTATCTGGCTGAGCCAACTTGATTAATTCATCCATAGCAGTTAATGCAAGATCTAGAAGCATAGATCTCTCAATCTGGACTTCATTTCCAATCATTCCCATTGGTGATCTAACACTCATACCAGACATTGCAGGTGAGGAGCCCAAAACACCATCTGCCACGTCAAGTCCCATTGGCAAGGACATGCCAAAATTGCCTGAACCATTCATCCCATTTCTTCCAATAGCAAGCTCTAGACCAGAATTTGAGGCTGGCAGAGGAATGGGACTGGCCAGTGATGAGAGGGGCCGGCCCAGGAACTTGTTTGCTAGGGCACATATTCGGTTCAATTCCTCCTTTAGCCGAGCATTTTCAATTCTAGTCTGATGTTCTTCCAATGAAATTTGGCCAGGAACAGCTGGTCCACCACAGTTGTTGCATATCGGATTTGCCAAAGCATCCTTCCTTACACTGTTCTCAGCTCGGAGCCTCTCATTTTCCTGCCTAAGAATCATGTTCTCATGGCGTTCCAGTTGCGTCTGGTTCAAGAAAAGCAATTCATTTAGTAGAATATCTTGAATGGCATCAACAAACAATTATAAAAGTGTACAAATAATAACATAAGCCGACTCGTGTCTGTTTTATTCTGCACATTCCCTACCCCCAACATTAAATAACACTTCAGCCTAAATAACTGCACGTTACTTTTTAACAACATACTGCATTTGATGTGTTGGGACACGTATCCAACAGCAACACCTATCCAACATGTCAGATACTCCTTATTAGGTGTCGAATTAAAAAATGTCTCAACTAAACACTTGAATTAACACTTCCATACAATTCGGACACCTGAGCCAACACTGTTTTATGATCCTGACATTTGAGTCAACAGCTCTATATAAATGGACACACATTAGTATCATTAAAAAAATTCACTTTTTAACTTTTAGAGAAGTCAATTTCAATATAAAAATGCCTCTCAATTCTTTTGTAAAGTTCTTTATCATGAGGAAAATGTGAGTATTAAAGAATATACAAATGATTAGTAATTAAGATCTTCGGTTATGTTACTCATATTCTATTTCATTTGTTCAATATATATGCAGTGTAACGGTCTCCTATATTTTGGACATTTGCATATCAAAGTGTCTTCATCGTGTCGGATGTCTATGTCGGATCCACTTAAAAGCTTGTTAACCGCGTCTTCTTTAAATTAAAGTAACACGAAACAAGGGCAACTGATTTCAATCGATTCCAACTAACCTTCATCTGGGTTCGTCGATTCTGAAACCAGAATTTGACTTGCTTATTCTCCAAGCCAAGCCTCTTACTAAGATCTGATCTTTGCTTCTCATCTGGATGAGGACACTCCTTGAAGAACCTAAAACAAAAAAGCATAATTCAACATAAAAATCAACCTAGCAAACAACTCAATTACAAATATTTGAAAACAGAATTGCACAATTTCATAAAGGCATACGCTTCAAGCTCCTGAATTTGTTGAGGGGTGTGTCTATGGTACTTCTTCTTCTTCTTCTGTGGTTGATCATCACCAGCATCTTGATCATCACCAGATCCTCCATCGAAATTATCACTCCCAGACCGGCTTTCATACTCATCATCCCTCATCCTCCCCACAAAATTAGTATCAAAACTTTCTCCAAGAAGACCCATCTCACTATTGCCCTCCATTTTCCTTTTCTGCACTACAATAATCCCATTAGCAACAAAAACAACGGCAAGGATGAATAATAAGATGCACAAATCAAATTTATAATAATAAAGCAAACAACAAACAGCATACACTGTAAGAGTTCTGAATCAAAGAGAAGATGAAGCATACAGTGGATAAAGACAAGTTAGTTGAATTTTGCTTTGAAATGATAACAGGATGAGATAAAAGAGAGCTCAAAAATGGACACACTAGCCATGAAGTGATTCTATGTAAAATTATCAACCTCAACTCTTGCACCCCCAAAACCACTGTTCCTACTGTTGCTGCTACTAAAACCCTCAAATCCGATATAAAGTTAAAAAATCAATGGACCTTTTTCTACCCTATCTCCCAAAAGTTCCTATATAATGAGCACGCAAGTACTCTATTCTCTTTTTTGTTTCTCTGAGCCTTTGTTCTCCAGGTTGTTTTCTGAATTTGTCACTCTCACTCTCAAACCACCTTTTCAGCCTTGGATTCTTTACTCAACTTTTGACCTTTAACCCAAATCGAGTCAAATGTTCACATATTGAATTATATTGGAAAAGGATGTATACACAACAGAACCAAAAAAATAAAAAGGTATTTCCTTGTCAACGCTCCATGCATGACTTTTATCCCATTTCTCTCTCTAGAATTATGTTTACTACAGATGCAGATGTAAGCAGGCACAGGACAAAAAAAACCCTTTTTTTTCTGATCCAATGTTCGCACCTGTTTCTCGAATTTGCACAACCCTCCTCAGCAACAAGAGCAAATGTCCCAAATTCTTTTCTTTTCTGTATTTCACACCTGAACCGACCAATTATTTGTCTGTATTGAAAAAAAATTCTAAGGAAAGAAAACATAGAAGGGTCTAAGCCAAAGTCAATGCATAAGAAAATAAATAAATATATAAATAAATAGACAAGGCCATGTGGAAGTGAGAATTTTTTATGAAAAAAGACAAAAACAAAAACAAGATTCACACTGCACCTTCCTTTTCCAATGCATCATACTGAAATCAAAGCAAAAAGACTCAATTGACTCACCACCAACTCTCCCCCACTGATACAAGTTCGAATTAAACAGATAAAATGTTCGAATATTTAGAAGCCAAGCCAGGTACGGAGGCAAAAATGATACCTTTTTACACTTTTGTTTGGCAGTGACAAAGTAAAATGCCAGAAAGTTCTTCTCTTTTATGGCTTTTAAACTTTAATTTTCAGATCCTTCCACGCTTTCTCTCTCTGGGATCTGTAAAAGAAGAGAGAGAGAGAGAGAGAACATTATATGTTACTACCATACCTTAACATAACATGTAATAACATAACACATATAAATCAATCAAGGATTAGGGGAAAAAAATATTTTGTATGCAACACATACAACAATTGAATAAAAAAATAGTAGAGCTGACTTACAATGACTCGAAGGGAATCAGAAAGTCAATGGCTTTCAAGTCCTTGAATAATTGTTTTCTCTAACAAAAAAATAATTTTTTAATGAAAAACAAAAAAGACCCTTTGAATCAACACCCAAAACCCATTTTGATTCCAGTGCCTCCTCCTTGTTCCTCTTGGTTCTTCACTCAATGGCATGCACAGATTTTCTCTCTTTCTCTCTCTGTATCTTCTAAACTCTGATAGTCCCTTTCTCAATGCTTTCTCTCTCTACAAATTCTCTCTCTTTATTCTTGGGTTTTGGCAATATATAAGACAGGAGAGAGAGTGTGAGAGGCGCGTGGGCCCCACTAACAAAACAGCGGTTCGTGATGTCCGCTCCCTTTCCCAGTCCGTGAAAAGCACGCGCGTGTGTTGTCTCTCCTCTGACGTTGCCTGGTTTTAAACTGTATTGTCTTTAAACAGTAGTTATACAGTGTAGGCAGGACCACGATAGCACCTTGAAGTCAACATAAATTGTCCAATGAGAGAGTCCTGAGGACAAAACAGTCATTTGGAGAAAATATGAGGATTTTCTGGCGTGACAATGAGATTGCAAAATCCTGATATTTGAATTTTTGGATTTTGTTTCTTTTTTCCTTTTCAGCTGAATTTGCAAAAAGGGAATGAAGAGAAACATACCATCGAATAAATCCTCGTTTGAATACATGTGTGAATTTGAATCCTATTTTTTTCTATTTTTGACATTCAGACTGAGAAGGAAACGAAATCACAAAATTGTATCTTCAAATTTTCATGAACTTTTCTAACAAGGTAAGAAAAAACATACTTAAATTGTTCTTTGTTTTGGTCAATTACTTAAATTGTTCATGAATACCCACTTTTCAAGATATGGAAAGATTACATTGCCACGAGTGTTCTTTTGTTTTTACTCTTTAAATTTAATTAAAAAGTAATGTTATCATAATACTTTCATATTATTATAATTTATTTATTAATAAAGATACAAATATTTTATATTAGTACAAGTCTATTCATTTAACTTAAATATATTAAATAAAAATTAAAATCTAAATGAAATCTATTAAAAAAGAGAGAATTTTTTTTAACTTTCAAAATATATGCAATCTTGAATTCGCTCATCCAAGTAGAAGCAGGTTCGTCAAAGTATAATGCAGAGTCATTCACGGTTATGCACAAGTTAGAGTTCAATTGTGCATAGTTTAATGCAAACTGCGAAGTCCTTTTTTGTTATCAAGTTTACTGAACATTTACATAAAATCTAAAGAAACTTTTAATGTGAGGCATTTTAAATTAGTAAAAATGATTTATTAAAATAATTATAATTTTATTAAAGTTTAATTATTTTACAAAAAAGATAAAGTTATAGGTAATTTTTTCTTATTCTTTTAATTTAAAAACTTACTCTCAAGTTAAATTTCAAAATAAAAAAATTAAAGTTATTTGATAGTGTTACAGTTTTGTTAATTAAAAGTTATCAACTTAAATATTATTGATATATATGGTAGTATATTTACACTTTAAAAACTCTTACATTTAATCTAAATATTTCATTTAACTTACGTCTAACGGTCAATAAATAATAAACTATAAATTATTAGATATAAATTAAATAAAAGACTTAAATTTAAATGTAAGAGTATTAAAAATTTAAAATCATAAAATATTTTAATTCATAAAAATAAAATATGAATTTCAAAATAAATAAATATATTAAAAATATCATAATAATTTTTTCTATCTAACATCAATAATTATTTACATAAAATTCTAACTAATCTTCATCACACTCATTTAAAACTTAAATATATTTATTCTTAAATTACTACCTTTAATTCTCTTTAGTGATTTTTTAACTATTTATCCCAAATTAGGTGAGATGATAACTTTAAATACAAAGGTTGATCAAATAAGTTCTGAAGGTATTATATATATATATAACAAGTTAATAAATGGGTAGTTTCTTCGGTTATTTATATGTAAAAGATAATCTCTTTTCAAAAATTAATTATTTAAAATCTCTACATTTTCTATGTTATTTATTACTTTAATTGTCTTTATATTATTCAATTCATTTATAGTGGTTCTCTACTTACAATAAGGATTAAAAGTAAAATTAAACTTAAAATTCTTAAATAATAATTAATAACGTTATTAAGGAATAGGTCAAATTAATATAAGTTACACTCATTATTACACATTTAATAAAAATTTTATTAGATGATTTAATTATAAAATTAACTGATAGATTAAGAGTTTCAAACAAAATATTTTATATTTGTAAGATTTTAAATGAATTCAAAATTATTTAATATTAATTATTGTGCATCAAAATCAATATAATATACAATTATATTATTGAATAAATAAAAAATATGTTTTATAAAGTTATTTACGTGTAAAAGTGAGTATACTCGGTTCCTTTTTGTATTATTATGAAAAAGATGAATAAAAATAGTTTAATACTGTAAAATAAAAAAACTATAAGATAATATCATATGGATTAAAATAAATATGAATAAATTTTATATATTGCATATATTATACATTTAAATATAAGAATATTGAAACGAAAACAATAAATTTTTCAAAGAATATTATAAAAATATTAAATGATAAAATTTTATATCACTAATATTTTATTATAAATTAAAAATTATATTATTTAAACAATATAATAATCATAAATAAATAATAATATTATAATTAAAATTTAAAAACACTAAAATTAAAGATAAAATAAATATAACAATAAAATAACATTCAAAACTGATAAACAATAGCTAATAATGTTATAAACATGAAAATTCATGAATAATAATATTTCAATATTGTAAATAATTATAAAAGAATAACACATAAATTAAAATTAAAAAATTATTTAAATACTCTAATAATGTAAAAATCCATCCTATTATTCAATTATGAAATATATATCAGTAAGAATTATTTATTTATGTAATAGTTAATATAAAAAGCATATCCTCAATGTATTCTAATTGATTGACTGTGCACCAAAATTAAAATTTATTGTATAAGAATTTAATTCTTCACTATCACGAATAATCAATTGTTGTATCAACACAGATTGTTGATATTTATGCAAAAATCAACCACTTTAATATATTTGCATGTCATCTTCTGGGGAAGTGAGTGATTCGTGCATCTACAAATCTCTCTCAAGGCACTCTCCACACTCTTCTAACTTTCAAAAAGGATTCTCAATGTAACGTGATTATCACTTTCTTCTACAATTCTTTTTTCGTTTTTCTGCTTACAATGATAAAAAATAACAATATCAAATTCCATAAATTACTAATGTAATTTCATATACGAGTCTATGAAAGTGGCAAATTTCAATCAGCTTTGTGATCAAAGCATATCTAAATTTGAATCGAAGACATGGAAGAAGATAAACCAAATCAGAGCTGTGAGACAAGGTGCACTAGTCTTCCAACATTACAAAACGATTTCGATGAAATGTAAGACTTTTTTTTCATACAAATCTTTTTCCGTTCTTCTACCAACGATTATAAAATAGCAGTCTGTGTGCAATATCAACAATTATATAAAGAGGTTCGATTATATAAATCATGTTTATAAAATTTCAAATCAATATGAAATTACATGGTACCTAATTCATATGCAATAAAATTAGCATCATATATAGTTTTGAAATATATAAAAATAAAGATCAGTTAATTAAATTCTTATAATTGTTCAATTTTTAAAAAATTTACATAAATGTGAAGTTAGATTGATAAAAAAAAATTACCTTATATATAAAATTATTAATTATTTAAGAATTGATGTAATAATGTATTCCAGTGTAATTTAGTTTTTCATGGTATATACACTTAGGAATTAAATTATATGTGTAAATAACACGCAAAAAAATTATTTAGCAACATTTTATTGAAAATTTTAATTCTAAAATTATTCATTAAATTAAAACCTATTATTATTATTATTATTATTATTATTATTATAATATGTGTAAAATTTTGAATTGATATAAAATTATCTGACCAGTGTGTCAAAATTATAAATTATATATTATGAAACATAAGAAAATAATAATTTTGTATAAATATTTAATTTTGATAAAATTTGGCTTAGATAACGATCTAACTATTAAATTTTAAAAAACATGAAGTTAGTATAATATTAGATATAGCTTTCACCTGTATAGTTTAAATTAGAATAAACATTCATTTTTATCTCTAAAATATATCATTCAAATTAATTTACTAAATTTAAATTTTAAAATTTTAGTTTTTAAAATTAATAATTATTAATTACGTTAGTTCCTCTTGTCAAGAGATTTTAAAAGTGAGTAATGGAATGATAATATTTCACAGTTAAGTGACATATGTCAATTTATTTTAGATACAAAATGATATTAGTTTATAATTTTTTAAAATAGTTTATTTTTATATTTGACTTTTAATATTTTCAGTCGATAAGGTATTTTTCTTATCTTTTGTTTTGCCCTTCTTTTATGAAGTCTCCTTCTTTCCTCCGACTATTCTTATAATGATGTTCATGCTACAAAGTTTCTTTGTCTTAAGTTTTGTCATATGAACTAATAGAATTGATAAACCCATCAAAAGTGAATACAATCTAATAAACTCAAATGTGTTAGATGCTAAGTGGCAAAAACATTGACATAAATCAAAAACCAAAATAACTAACTTTATAGTTGCAAGAAAACTAATAAACTAACGACATATCATTGTGCTAATACCCTCTGAAACTAAAGAGTGAATAGTTATCACTCCCATCTTGGGTAAGAGCTTTTGGAAGGAGTAGGATTCGGGCTTTTGTTAGAAAATAAGTCAACTGAGCAAAGGTGTGGATAGGGAGTAGATGAATAACTTGGCTTGCAATTTTTCTCTCGCAATATGACAATCTAACTTAATATGCTTAGTGCACTTATGGAAGGTGGGATTGTTGGCAATATATTTAGCAAACTGATTATTACAATAAAGTAATATTAGTTGAGTGAAATTAACTTTAAGATCCTGTAATAAGTAGGAGGGTCATTGCAACTCACACATAGTGGATGCGAAGGCCCTATATTATGCTTCGAATAAGGATCCAGATAATGTTGATTGTTTCTTAGAACACTAAGAGATGAAAAAATCTCTCAAAAACATCCAAAACTCTTTGACTAATCTGCAAGTAAGAAGGTAAGAGGCCTAATCAGAATCACTGAATGTCTTGCACTATATTGAGAAGCTAGCAGGAAAGAAAAGACCC